TAGAGAGCAGCAGTCACCACACACTTTCCAGTCATGACCCCACTTTACTATGATTCAGCAGCCCAGGAAATATCCTTGTGATGAGAATTAAAATAGTGCAGCTAACAACTGAAAGAAAAAGGGGCAAAATGCCCCTGTTGGCTGCTTCCACATGAGTGCAGACATTTGTTTTCTTGGGATCAAGAAGGAGCGGCACACTTTGTGCCGCTACTTGTCTTCAGGGAATGCATAGGTCACGTGCCCTCTGGTGCGCGGCAGGTTACCCTGGGTGGGGTAGGGGAGGATGAGGCCAGCAACTGTGCTGGCCTCAGCAGCCTTACCTGGGGGCCAGGGAACCTGCAGCTACGGTGCTCCTGCAGCTGGGAGCCTGGCCAGCAACTGCAGCGTGGCTCTGGCAAGCCAGGCTCTGGTTTTGAGCAGCATGCGCTACCACCATGTCCACCACCTCACCTTTTTTTCTGCGCAGGTTTTTTGACTCCGGGATCTTCTAGGGTCAACCCCGACCTCCCCACCCCCTCACACTGCAAAGTAGCAGCACGGGGAATGCATGAATGTACACTGTTTGGTGCCACAGACAGGTCTGCAACGCCACATACTGCACAGCCACATTCATCTGAATGCAGCTGTTAAGGTACCACTTACCATAGGCTCAGTGCAGACACTCAAGCAGTTATTATGGAGTTTGAGGCATGGCAAAGCACTACCCCTTCTTAACTGAGGGCAAACAGAATAATTGCAGCTTTGAGGAAAGTGGAGGCTTCCTGCAGTTCGCAAGCCCACTCGTAGGCACCACAACCCCCCAGTGTTATTGGAAATGCTGAGTAAAAAGCTGTTTTTCCCACTTCTCCATTTCCCTGGCTCATGTGTTTTATGGACAAATGGTTGCACCTGCATGGAAAACTCTTTTAACTGGCTATGCAGAGAGGTGTACCTATTTTCCCCTTGGCACGAACCCTCATCTTCTACCACCACCTAGCTTCAGATCCTGCTAGTCCCTGTTTCTGTTGTCCCATGATAGTTGATAGCGCGGATTCCCAAGTAGGCTTTGCTGCTGTAGCATCCTGTTTATTCAAGTCAAGTCAGTCCTGAGGCCACTGAGGCTGTTGGGGCACCTTAGCTGCCTAATTGGTGAGTCTTCAGGCAAAGTGACCTGGTGGTACCCATCTCCTCTCCAGGTATGGATGGCCATTGGTTCACATGGAGCTCATCCACCCTTTGACAGGTCTTATTTTTAGTCCTGCTAGGTGTCCACATACCCTCCTCATCCAGGCTAGTCCAGGTGGTGGCACTGGTTTAGTCACCAACAAACCAACCATGGAGCAGGCTGTACTGGTTTACATAGTACCAGATAGCAGACTAAGAGAGGTCTGGCCAGACAGCCATGTTCATAGATTCACAGATGCTAGGGTCGGAAGGGACCTCAATAGGTCATCGAGTCCAACCCCATGCATAGGCAGGAAAGAGGGCTGGGTTCAGATGACCCCATAAACAACAATAAATGTTGTTTATTTTATTTTGATAAATCCACTGTTACCTTCGGAGAGGTGCTGGAGAGCCCTGCAATTGTTGGGGTTGTTTACTGGGATTCCTGTGCAAATGAATTTCATCCAATAGGAATTCATAGAAAAGGATGAGAGGGTTTTTTCTTCCTTCACATAAATGTGTGGATGCAAGGGTCAGTAAACATGGCTAAGAAGTATTGAACCTGTAGCTGTAATGAGAGAGATGTCTTGGTTGCAAACCTTGTCAGCCATTCACAATTTTTATTCTGTCACAGCTGCTTAGCTTTGGTCATACTGGTGCTCTGTGCATGTGTTTTTTAATTTGCCTGTCTCCCCACTGAAATTTCTTTCCCTGCAATTTCATCTTAAAACTATTTCTTATATGTGCTCTCCAAATGGGAAAACTGTCCATGCCCTCCTTTACAAAGTGCTTTTTGGACTCTGGGTTATAACCCTCTCTTAAGAGAGAGCTATAATTAATTATTATATGTAGCTTATTACATGGAACAAATACATTAATCCTATATCAGAAAGGCGATGATTCATCTGTTATGTAGTATATTGGTGTTCCAGTGTCTTACAGTTTGTTATAAATTGTAGTACATGTTGCTTGCATAAATTCTGTCTTTGTAACCATCAACAGTGACAGCAAAAGCACAACGAAGACAGGAAAGGATCAAAATTTGTTCACAAATTTGTATAAAGTCTAGTTGACGAAGATGGTGGCAACTCCATCACCCTGTTACACATTGTTCTTCCTCTTTCCCAGTCCCCCGGAAGCTAGAGACAATCTTGAATTCACCGTAAAAAGCCAAAATATTAAGATGAATTTGGACAAAGGAAATGAGTGAATTTCAATAAAGGAGGCTAACCAAGGTGCAGCCAAACTAAAACAATGCCCTCCTAACAACAGACATATCCTTCC